TTTCCACACCATCTGCCCTGTGTCCCTGGCTCCTAGGGTGAAGCAGGCACACATGCTGGTTTGGCACTTATACCCTCCTTTGCCTGCTTTCTCACTTTGGCACATGCTGGCCTATATTCCTCCTATTAATGCTGTTATTTGCTAACACCATTAATATCACCTTCTCCCCTTTTCTGCCCGAAGATATTCACTGAAAGCAATTCTTTTGGAAGACAAGTTTTTCCTTGGTAGCTAGAAGGTTTTTTGAAGAACTTTTTAAAAAAATATTTTGTCCTTTAATATCTTCAGCTATGTCTCTGTGCTCAGTGAGAATTGCTAGCAGCGTTCCAGAGCCAATTCCTGGCAATTCAGGAGGTCCATAGAGGCAAGCAAGGTTTCTAGACAAGAAGCAGCCTGTATCTTTCTTCATTATAGACTCTGACTGGCTGTTGTTACTCCAATGATTTTTTTGCTCCGTTGCTGTTCTATGAAATATCTGCATTGCTAGGACTTGGTGCTTTGCAATTTATAGGTACTCCCAATTTTTCAGGCTTGTCTTTAGTTCTGGAGTTGCAATGAATACTTATTGTGCCTGAGAAACAGAAATGGGATTCTGTCAAATTTCAGTATTTGAATTTATGAACTTAACCACAATTGGCTGCATGCCTGTCATTGCAATGCATCCCACTGCATAAAATGAGTGCAAACTTCTCCATGCAACCCTGCTCCATGAGTATATATATGTGCATGACACTGTAGCCTTTATTACTTATGAAAAACACATCAATATTTTATTAATAAGCAGACATTGATTTTTACTGGGAACATAAAGATTTATGGAAGAAGGCAGAGCTGTGTGGCAGAAACTATGACAGCAGTTTCTAAAAAATCTATGGAATATTTTACATTTGAAATACAGAAAAAATATTCCAGTCAAAGTGAATTCAAGTAGACAGTCCTTTGTGGAAAATAGATTTTTTCTGGTATCAAGCACAGGTGAATTTTAAAGACAGCTGGTTTGAAACAGAATGAGACTCTGTCTGAATTTGAACACAAGTGGCTTCCTTTTATTTTATGGAGATATTCAAGGAAGCTCTCAGTGGAGCAAGGAGAGTAGAGGCTAACATCTGTGCGATGGCCCTGAGGCAAAAGGACTACAGCAAGCAAACAGGGAGGTGTAGCCCTGTCAGGAGCACAGGAAGACCCTGCTGTTGCTTGCTGTAGAAAAAGGTTACCCAAAGTGGACTGATTTGGGGCTGCTGGTAACAGCAGGAAGCAGAAGCTGTAATAAGGACAACCTGGAGGGTTCCCTGTCTATGCTATGCCACCTGGAACTAGGGATTCTAGCAGTGACTGGGAAGTACTTATTTTCCAGTGTCACTCTACTTTTACCCTGACACACAAGGCAAATCTTGGGACTGATTTAGAAATTGTGGTATGGCAAACACCCCAGCAGACAGCTCATACAGAGGAAATGCCCAGCCTTCATTCTCCAAGACATCATGCTCAACAATTGTCAAGAGCAAGTAGAGAAACATTCAACAGACAAATTGTATATCCCAGATACAATGGAAGAAGAACAAATTTGGTCCATCCGGCTGATTTCCTCCTGTACTGCATGTATTCATAAAGCTGGCAGAATACTCAGACTGTGGTGATGTGTGCTTTGCTCACTTGGGGGCTATACAAAAGGATAAAGGGACTTAATGTGTTTGAAGTACTTTGCTTTTTACCGAAAAGGTCCTATAGTTTGGCAAGGGGAAGAGAGCAAGAACTGGAATGGTTTTAGAGATGAAATATGTCAAACTGAGAAAGTTCTGGTGATTTTATTCGTAGCTCTTAATAATTAGCTGTTTCTATCTTTACAATTAATTCTTTGTCAGCATTACTACAAATGCCTTCAATTTCCTCACTGTCCCCCAATGGACTCCAGCTCATTAATATGCAGCTTTAAGCAAGTATCAGAGCTGTCATGCATTTCAAATCTCCCCTAGGAAGCTTTTTAAAATTGTGAGTAAGACCTGATACTGAGACTTATTAGCACCAAACCTGGAAACAAAGCTTCTGTGCAGGGAGCGATGACTCTTCAAGTTACCGTTGCTGTCACCTTTTTTATCCTGAAGTTTTTTAAAAATGTGAATACCTCAAAGCACTTCTTTGATGCAGCCAACATTTCCAGCTCTTATAAACTGCTGTTTGTGGATAGAACTGGGCTTGTGCCAGCATCTCAGATTTGAGTGATGAAGCTGAACTTCGAGGTCGGATTTAATTGCACTCACACTGAGAAATACTCAGAAGAAATCTACTGAAGGCAGCAGAGAAATAGTACACCGTGGCAAACACACTGCAGTATGGTAGAGAAACTGGAAGGTTTTATACTTGCTAAAAGACAGGTCATAACAGTCCACAGATGTGTCATACCTAGATTGAGATCAAAATCCAGCCACAATGCTTTGAGACCAGCTTTAGCTTGAACCTCTGACATTTAAACCTGCATCCAAGGGCTTTGGCTCTTGCCCATTTACTCATAAATGTCAGAACAGCCCCATGTTTTCATCACTGTCTCAAATTAAGAACAACAATCAGTCCAACTTCTGAACTGCTAGCATAAATGATTTACCAGGACTAAGGTTAAGGCAGATTCCCATGACTACTGGCTACAATGACAGAAGAAATGCATAAACTCGAGAGCTGTGGAGCTGCCTGCCATTGGCATGTTGGTGATCCTGCTAATCATCTTTTCATCTTTAGTGACATATGGAGAGTAAGGTTTTTGTAAGATGAAACCAAACCAACTTCCACATTAGAGAGCCCAAAGAGAGAGAGAGAAAGGCATCCCTCAATGCTTCTCAGAGAGAAAATTGTTAGCCTAGAGAAAGGGTTCTTAGCAGAGCTTCTTGCTGGAGTGATACTATTGTGTCCCATATTTGGTTCAGCATGAAATAACAAGAATGGGAGAGATTTTAGCAGCAAAATACCTCAAACTAGAAAATTTGGAATATCTCTCATCTTCCAAAATTTTTCACAATTCAATAAAGTCTTTCATGAAAACCAGTGTCAGTAAATACTGACACCTCTCAGGAAGGAGAGTTGATGCAACAGCAACAGAGCTATTGACCAACAAAATTACAAACCTGCAAGCTGTGAGAGGTGCTCTCCAAATGCACCTTCTTAACATTTCCCACAAACGTGAGACACGAAGAAATGCAAATTTGCTACTGAGACTCATCAGGCTAAAAACTCAATTTCACCATGTCCTGAGGTCCTCATTTCCTGGCTGGAGGTGTTTTGCCTTCTCACCAGACACGACCTTACTTCTCCACCTCAAACCAAACTCAGCCATGAGCTACAGACCGACAAAGCCATCCTCCTCAAGATCCCGCCATGTGGAAGGCATCCCTTTCTGTCCTGCTGGGCTACCCCACCTGCTCCAGCACCCCTTCACTCCGGTGTGAGTGTGAGCTACCGGAGCCGTGAGTGTGAGCCCATCTCGTTTGGGGCGATGCCAGAGCCCTCACCCAGCCGGGCTCTAAGAGTCCTGGTAGGAGTTGCGCCTGAGGAGAGGCGCAGCGCTTTGCCGCCGTGCGCGGAAGAGCCGCAGGCGGGGGT